GCGGGCGCCGAAAGGTCAGCTACGCAAAATGCACAGTCTGGTTGCACAGATGCTCAAAAGGTGACATTTGCCTCGCCCTAGATGCAGTTAACAACCACTATGCTGGTCATCTTCCAATCGCCCCTCCCAAACAAAAACGTGCCCAAGTAGCTGGAGGTGACACGCAGCACCCATTGCAGATGTTTTTGCGCACTCCCTCTGACCTTTGTATACGGAACAGAATCCCCGGCATTATGTCTAGTACTTGTTGTGCTTCCGCAGAACGCCGTCCACACAGGAGTTGTCAGGAAGAAGTCATGGTATGAGACATGCAGTTGGTTACCATGTGAACATCTACAGTAGATTACACAGTGCGTCGGGGAGACTCTCACTGCGTTGTGGCGGCCATTTGGGCCAACTGGGTGCATCGATGGTGCCATCTGTCGACACATCCGCTAGTGGGATGCGGAGCGGTGGGTCCACCTGAACAAACCTGCCAGTCTGGTCGTGGTAGCCGCTGAGTTCGATGCAATCGGGCGGTGTGGTATTTGTGGCGCGGGCCGCTTCTCACGACCGCCCAAGACGCTGACATGGTCGACATACAAAGTGATCGGCATCGCGCAGGGTGCAAACGGCGTTGAACGGCCGCAGAGACAACAAGCTTCGCACCAAGAATGCGTCCACTGCCCGCAAAGTTCGCATGGTTGGACCCCGACGTCTCGCCTAGGTAAGTTTTCAGCCGCAGTGACCAGCGCAAACGCCGCCCTCTTGGGAAAGGAGCGCTGGCGCTCCTCGCGTGTCACTCCGCGATGGTCCTCGCGCGGATGTAGGCGCAACCAGACCTTGGCCTCCGTGACCCACGCCTCCCAAGCCACTGGGCGCAGGGCAGTCATGGCACGGCGGCTGGTGTGAGAGGAATGATGACCACGTATGCTTACAAGTGATTGGCTGCGAGGCACCGGACCCCAGTTTCCAAGTATCACTGACAGTGCACAATCGTGGGCACTAAGGTATTCGTCTTCTGCCCTCGCCCGTCCTCGCCTCCTTGTAGAAGAGTATACAGAAAAACACGAGGGTTGGCGAGAAACCGATAAGATGTCTCGTGTGCTAGACTGTTTATGTTGGACGTTGCACCATACTGAGTTTAGAAGCTGAAACTCATTGTGGCGCCGCGCCGGTCTTTGTCTGCCTGGGCCGTCTAGTCCCGTGCGACGACACTTTCGCAGAACGGCGTCCATGTCCCGAGCCTCTCAGAGAGCATATGCCTCGTGAGCATGCTTGCACAGCAAAGCCTCCCAAGGCCTCAGCGCGGAAGGTCTGTGCCACAAAAATCTGTTGCCGTCTTGTTGGACACTTGTGGATCATCCCCAGCTACTCCGCGTACTAAAGTTTTACCACAAAGTCGCCAGTTCTCATCTTCCAGCTCCCCAGATACTCCGCGTACTCAAGTTGTACTACCAATTCGCAAGTTCTCACCTTCCAGCTCCCCAGATACTCCGCGACTCCGCCTACTGAAGTTGTACTACGACTACGACGTCCCCAGTTCTCATCTTCCAGCTCGCCAGGTGCTCCGCATCCAAAGTTTTATTACAAAGTCGCCAGTTCTCATCTTCCAGCTCCCCAGCTACTCCGCGCACTAAGGTTGTACTACACAGTCGCCAGTTCTCATCTTCCAGCTTGCCAGATACTCCGCGTACTACAGTTGTACTACCAGGTCACCAGTTCTCATCTTCCAGCTCCCCAGATACTCCGCGTACAGCAGTTGTACTACCAAGTCGCCAGTTCTCATCTTCCAGCTCCCCAGCTACTCCGCGTACCAGAGTTTTACTACCAAGTCACTAGTTCTCATCTTCCAGCTCCCCAGTTACTCCACGTACTAGAGCTTTACTACCAAGTCACTAGTTCTCATTTTCCAACTCCCCCGGTACTCCGCGTACTACAGTTGTACTATAGTCGCCTGTTCTCATCTTCCAGCTCCCCAGATACTCCGCGTACTCAAGTTGTACTACCAAGTCGCCAGTTCTCATCTTTCAGCTCCCCAGATACTCCGCGACCCCGCCTACTAAAGTTGTACTACGACGTCCCCAGTTCCCACCTTCCAGCTTCCCAGGTGGTCCGCGTACTAAAGTTTTACTACAAAGTCGCCAGTTCTCACCTCCGCGTACGACAGTTGTACTACAAGCTCGCCAGTTCTCATCTTCCAGCTCCCCAGACACGCGCGCGCCAGGGACAAGTCGCCCTCTCGCCTGCATTTCGCGCACCCGACCCGCCCGATCTCCGCAGAGGGTTGCGCGCGCATGGGGCAAATGGCACTCTCACCTGCATTTCGCGCACTCGACACGCACGATCTCCGCAGAGGGTTGCG